ACAATTTACTCTACAGAACTTTAAAAACTGAAGCAGCAACAACAACAGGCGTTTAGGTCGAGACAGCATCTCAAATCGAGAGCGTCATTTTAACGATTACATTAACCGTTATTATCATTTATCAATATTTATCAATATCATATATCAATATTTTAGGTCGAAAACTACTAGCATTCTCTAGGATGACATACTGAAGCTCATTGTTCAACAGCGATCGGTATCATGTATCTTAAGAGTGCAAAAATGTTGAACCGCTGCACCCTTCTCCGAAACGCTTAGATCGCGTCATGCCTCGTTTCAAAAAATCAGTTATAAAACCACTTAAACAAATTTTTTCACGTATAAGATCAATTGCACCTTATTTTAAAGACTCTAAAGCATATCATTTAAAAGAAAAAAAATTTTTTCGATTTTTTTTTAATTTCAGTGGTGTTCCCTCTTAAGTGCATGATTGACTCTTTACATTCGTTTGCTTAGCTCTAATTAAAATATAAAAAATAAAAACTTAGAGCTAATATAATTATATACATTTTCTTATATACTAAGTATTAACTTCCACGCTGCGATTTTCTTTCTCTTCTTGTTTCTTCAGCCTCTCATCTTTGGTTGTATTTGTTCGCAGGTGTCCTCTGCTAGTCCCTCCGTTCGTGGTTTTTGAGTCATCATTTAACGGTCTCTTTATTATCTGGTAAGTATAAAATCAATTTTTAGGTTTAGGGTCTAAAGAAAACGGACGGTTGCATTCTCCGCTCTAATTTGGAGATTCTGATTATCAGATTCGATCAAATTACCCGTAGTTCGTGATGGTTCGTTAGTTTTGGTATTGTCATTGTCAATTGTTGTTTTAAAACATATCTTTTTCATTATTTGTTCGTTGTCTGAATTTTCTGATTGCTTGTGGTACGAGATCTTTTGTTTCTTTTTTAACTCCTCCAGTTCCTGTTGTAATTTTTTGATTTGTAATATGTCGTCGGTCGATTTTGTTTTCTTAAATGACCATTTTTATTTTTCCCTTGGCTGGTCTGACCTTGTCTTTTTGATCTTTTCTTCTTCGGACAATTCGTCCCATGTGTTTTTCGCTTTTTGTTTGCGTCTGAAAGGGGACAAGGGTTTTCTGCCCCTCTTTTTTGGTAATATACTTTCCTTCATTCCTTATCATGGCTAGTAATAGAAAAAATGTGGTTAGGGAGAATAGTGTGGATGCAGTGCAGCCTTCGTGGTTTACGGTTCCTTTCGTTCGGGGCATTACTGAGAAGTTTAATAGATTAAGGAGCGATCATATGAGGGTGTCGTTTTATAGCATTAACAAATTGCGAGAATTCATTAGGGTACAGAAAGATCCTTTACCACGTAATAATAGGTCGAATGTAGTTTACAAGATTTCTTGTAAGAACTGTGATGCGAGTTATGTGGGACAGACGTGTAGACAACTAAAAACAAGAATCACGGAACACAAGAACCATATCCGTTGGAACACGTCTATCCGCAACGTTATAACGGAGCATCGGTTGCAAGAGGGACATGAGTTCGATTGGGACAACGTTGCAATACTGGACGAGGAACCACACTACCAGAAGAGATTGACTTCGGAAATGATATTCATCAGGAAATAGACGCATGGACTTAACATGCAAACGGATATGGAGAGGCTTCCCAGGTCGGGCGTTGACTTTAGATCATTTTCGGGGATACCTTTTCTTGATTTGGTGATTAATTTTTTAACGCTAGTTTTTTAATTACTGTCTCAATAAGACCAATTAAATCAATAAGAGACTAACTGTGTCTGACACTGACTGGCTAACTTATCAGAAACCTGTTTTTGAAGTATTAAGAGTAATGTTTGCGATGCGGTATCTTGTGATCAAGGTGAGCTTCCTAACCATCGGAATAATAATAGTTTCAAAATTTTTTGATACATTAGTTTTACATTTTCTTTATTTCGAGAATTTCAAAATTTCTTTCCCCCTTTTTTCTTTTTTACTGCATTCTTATCTGGATTTAATTCTGGTATTTATACTCTCGAGGTGAGGAAGATCACCATGACTAGTTAATAATTGTTATATTCTATGTATGTGAATGTATTAGTTATCTCTGAAGAAGGCTCAAAAATGAGCCGAAACATGTAAGCGCTTTAGTAAAATAAAGAAGTTTCACGCTACGATAGTCGTGTTATTTGCGCAACATCTCCCGCGCTTGACTCCTACTGCTCTTGTTCTTTCATTGTTTTTTATACTTTCCTTCATTGTTGAAGTACTGGGTAGACTCGTTGTTGACATGGTTTTAACGGTGTTCTCTCTATCATTACCCTTAAGTTTGTTTTAATGTCTGATATTATCTTCGGTTTCTTTACTGATGTTTCCTTTCTTTTTTCTGTCTCTGCTTCTGATATATCGCTTGGATGTTGTTGAAGATTTTCTATCTCTATCGGAATTATTTCTTCCGCTACTGGCGTTAGGTCTATTGGTGTTGAAGTAACTCTATCTGTTAATGGTATGTCGTCATCTAATAATGAATCTGTTTCTGTCTGTATTGTAGTCATTACGCCTTTCGTTTCAAATTTTCCGTCTTTGTAAGTCGTTGTTATTTGTATTTGTTTATTCGTCATGTCTTTGTTTCTTACGAATTTTTTAATCGTGCAGTTGATGTCTACGTCTGTTATATGTTTCTTATTTTCGCCAAAAAATATTACTTTGTTGTAATAGTGTTTCGCTAGGATATCTCTAACCTCGTATTCAGCTATTAAATTATCTTAGTATCCTGCTCAGCTGTTGTTAATTCTTCGCTAGTAATTGTCTCTTCTAAGATCTTTTTCATTTTTCCGATTCTTTCTAACCTCATTAGGATGTCATATCGCTGTTGTCTTCTTCTTTCCACTTTCTCGTAGAGTTCCCTCTCTAGCTCTATTATTTCTCTGACATCCTTATATCCTGTTATATCTTCTAGTCTTGCCATTTTGATGTTGTCGATCGTTTTCTTGTCACCTTTATTTTCACTTTCGATTCTCTTAATCTCTTCGATGTTAGGGCTATGGCAGAGAACGAGACGTAACGAGACGTAAGTTCCGTAGTCGTAAAGTAAGGTAAGGCAGAGAAAAACGTAGCTGTCGTAGTCGTGACTGGTCTGGAATGGTCGGTAAAGTGTGTCAGAGCGACGAGGTGAGTAATATTAATGCACGTTTATACGTCTTAATAGTTAATAAGGAAATATATACACACTAAAACAAAATAAAAATAGATTTATTTTTAAAGATATAATGATATTTGTTTCCACCTCCTGAAATAATCATAATAGTACGTAATTATTATTTTAGAGGTTAACCAATATTTTTCGAAGTATGTATGTACATTGTTAATTACTAACAAAAAATGTCCTTAACACATTTTTAATCTATTTTTATTTTGTTTTAGTGTGTATATATTTCCTTATTAACTATTAAGACGTATAAACGTGCATTAATATTACTCACCTCGTCGCTCTGACACACTTTACCGACCATTCCAGACCAGTCACGACTACGACAGCTACGTTTTTCTCTGCCTTACCTTACGTTACGACTACGGAACTTACGTCTCGTTACGTCTCGTTCTCTGCCATAGCCCTTACG